GGAGTAGCTGATGGGTTTGAACCACCAGCCTTCTGGTTAGCAGTCAGATGCCTTAGGCACTACACCACCAGAGCTCCCACTAACAACTTAGTCATTGCAAATAATTTTATTCTACAATATAAATGGCAACTATACATGTGGACCTTGCCAGATGGATCACACAAATCAAATTGACTACATCTGTGAAAAGAGACAATATCATCAGTCACAACAAGGCCAGAGACCAACTGCAAGAGACAATCAATTGCTCATATGCAAGTTCAAGTTGAAGCTAAAGAAAATTAAAACCAGTCCAGGAGAGCCAAAATACAGCTTTCAGTATTTCCCATTGGAATTTAGACATCATCTCAAGGAGAGATTTGACACACTGAACACTAATGATATCAAAGATATCATATGTAAAGAAAGCAAAAGGTCATTTAAAAGACTGAAAAGAAAGGAACTATCAAAATGGATGTCAGAAGAGACTCTAAAACTTGTTCTTAAGTAGAGAATAGCTAAAACAAATGGAAGAAATGACGAAGTAATAGCACTGAATAGAAAATTTCAAAGGGCAGCTTGAGAAGCTAAAGTAAAATATTATAATGAAATGGAAAAAGACCTAGAGTTAGAAAACCAAAAAGGAAGATCGCCCTTGGCATTCCTCAAGGTGAAAGAACTGAAGAAAAGAAGGATTCTATGGGCAAAATATTAAACTATGAAGGAAGCATCAAAAGAAGATGGAAGGAATACTCAGGGTGACTATACCAAAAAGAACTGGTTGATATTCAACCATTTCAGGAGGAAACATATGAGCAAGATCTGATGGTACTGAAGGAAGAAACCCAGGCTGCACTGAAGACATTGGTGAAAAACAAGGCTTCAGGAATTGATGGAATACCCATTGAGATGTGTCAACAAATGGATGCAATGCTGGAAGAGCTTCCTCGTCAACACCAAGAAATTTGGAAGAGAGTCACCTGGCCAACCAACTGGAAGAGGTCAATATTTGTACCCAATCCAAAGAAAAGTGACCCAACAGAATAGAGAAATTATCAAACAATATCACTAACATCATACGCAAGTAAAATCTTGTTAATTCAAAAATAGTTGTAGTAGTACATTGACTGGAAACTGCCAGATATTTAAGCCTGCTTCAGAAGAGGATGTGGAAGGATTCACACTGCATTGCTGATGTAAGATGGATCTTAGCTGAATGCAGAGAATACCTGAAAAATGTTTACCTGTGTTTCATTGACTATGCAAAGATATAAGACTTTGTTATGTGGATCATAAAAAAATTATGGACAACACTGCAAGAATAGAAATTCCAAAACACTTAATTGTGCTCATGCAAAACCTGTACATAGACAAAAAAGGCAGTCAGAAGAGAAGAATTGTATACTGCATGGTTTAAAATCAGGACATGTGTGTGTTAGGGCTGTATCCTTTCACCATATTTATTCAATATGTATGTTGAACAAATAATCTGAGAAACTGGACTATATGAAGAACATGACATCAGAATTGGAGGAAGACTCATTAACAACTTATAACATGCAGATGACACAACCTTGCTTGCTGAAAGTAAAGAAGACTTAAAGCACTTACAAATGAAGATCAAAGACAACAGCCTTCAGTATGAATTACACCTCAACATACAGAAAACAAAAATCCTAACAACTGGACCAATAAGCAGCATCACAATAAATGGAGAGAAGATTGAGGTTGTCAAAGAATTCACGTTGTTTTGTTCTACAATCGATGCCAATGGAAGCAGCAGTCAGGATATTAGATGACATGTAACATTGGGAAAGTCAACCATGAAGGAACTCTTCCAA